TTCTTACAGATCGGAAGGTGAGAACTCTATGAACACCTGTGTGCAGGAAATTCCTATTGTTACACTTGTCATTGCAATGAATGGAGTCCACTACTACTGGCCTCCTTTTTTCCTCCCACTACCTTTCGAAAAGACCTGGAAAGACTAGTAATGTAATAACACACTGATACAAGCAGAGTCTTAAAGCTGAACTGCTGGCAAATGGCAAAAATACACAAATGAAATGCATATACAGTTTGAGAGCTGTGTTACCTACCGTAGCGTTTTTATTTCTGTTCATCCAGTCCAGAGATTCACATAGCTCAGCCACAGCATGATGTCCTATTTGGCAGAGAAGGAGACCTGATTGTGCTCTGCTGCACTTAAGTAAGACATTCAGGTCTGGTCCTTCCCCCACCTGTGACTGGACAATGAAAGGAGATGCAGCAGACTGATGAGCTTATCTCTGTTACACTCTGCTCCTTCCTCTTATAAAGAAAACTAGCTTAAGGACTGTAGTCAGAGAGCAGTGATTAGAATTCATACCCTGAACGATTTAAAGTCATTAGGTCATTTTGGGGCAGTTGCTTAATAACCTATTTATTTATAAATGATAAACGTTCCATTTCCATGTTTGCTGATGAAACAAAGCTATGCAGTAGGGTAACATACCTACAAGATGTAATTGACTTGCAAGCTGACCTGGATGCACTGTTTATTTGGGCAGCTTCATGGCTAAAAACTTGCCTGGGTCATACAATCTAAGGGAATACATTTGGGTAAATCAGTGATGTAGATAGTGCTGGGGGTTCTGGAAGATCATAGACATAATAACAGCATGCAGTGCCACAGCTTCCAGAGCGAGCAAGATAGATTCTTGCATTTAAAAAGGCATGGACTCAAGGTAGACATACTTTTGCCTGTGTACAAAGCATTAGTAATACCTCATCTTGAATATGCAGTTCATTATTGCTGTGGTACTGGAGAGGGTGCAGAGAGGGGCAACTAAATGAATAAGGTACATGGAGCACCTCAGCAATGATGACATATTGTGGTAACTGTGGGTTTAGGGTTTGAGGATATAAGGTTTTTAATCATTTTTATTTATTTTTGTCTTTGGATAAACCCGATGAGCATATGCCTTTTAACATAGCATTGCAGCTAACATCAGGATTAAAACAATAAGAAAAATGTATGCAATCATTTGTATTCTCCTTTTGAGCCTGCAAGTGAAGCTCTTGACTTATGTTGAAATCTTTACAGTCTTATTATCCCCTTTGATAAAAGCAAGCCTGTGGTTTACAGAGCTCTGTAGCTCATGCTGTAGCTTCTATACATGTGACTTATCCCTGACCGAGCAGTTCCTTCTGCGGTTTCCATTTGACAAAGCAAGCTTCTGGGCAGGCAGCTTTTGCTGTGTGCTCTCCTTAGAAAAACTATAGTGCTCTGGAATCCATTTGACATGTAATAAATTACAATTTGCAAATCAAAGATTTGGAAAATAACAAAAACAGCCATTAAAATATAAGTTAAATAACTCGCAAGCTTAAAAAGGAACAAATAAGACCTATAACCATTATTATTTACCTTTTAAGTCGGTTGTAGTGCAAGCATGTAACAAAATTTACTTAAAGGACAACATTTTATCAAATCTGCTGTCAGTTAACAGTACCCCAGTGAGACAACCATTATTGTGTTCTCACAACTGTTACCAAACCTTCTTAATAGGGAAAATAATTTCTGTTGACTGTCAGGGTGTCTGGCTCGCTGTTGGGCATTTTTTCAGGGGTTGATAAAGTATCAAATTATTATCAAAGATATTTAAACCGATTTTCTTTTCTGACAGGTTGAGTATAAACCTATACCTAGTGGGAAAGAAGAAGAGAGCTTATTTCTTACAGCAGTTACAAACTCCTGGGTCCATAACCGCAGAAAGAAGAGAAAACAAATGAGACAACTTAGAGAGTTGCCTCGCGCTCCTGCGGAAGATTTTGTGCAAATGGGTAAGATGGAGAATCCAACACTAAAGGATGACTCGCAACAAGGGGACCAAACACCCGCGGGACCCGGAGCCCTTGATGAGAAAGATAAATCTACCCCAGACATCAGCAATCCAATATCTGCATCCTCAGAGCCAGATCCCACAGCGCATTTAGAAGATACCAATCCAGAGTCTATGGAGGAGGAGACCTTGGCATTATCTGACCAAGCCAGGGACACCTCTCTCTCTCAGAATACTGAAACTGATGATCATGATTCCTCTGAAGAACTGAACCAGGTGACAGGAGAGGGGTCACATCCAGTCCAGGGCAATAGTGGTTCTTTCCTTTTCAAATGCTTGCTGAATGTGAAGAATGAGGCTCCCAATGTGTTGGTTGAGATGCACTGGGTAGAGGGGCAAAACAAGGACCTAATGAACCAGTTGTGCACCTACTTACGCAATCAGCTCTGTAGGCTTGCAAGCAGCTAGGTTCTTTATCCACAATCCAGGTGGAGCAGAAATAAAAGTTTTTTCTATTTTTGTGACATTTTTATGCAATTGTTAAATTCTGTTTGGTCAACCACCATATTACTTTTTTACTTCCCGTGTTCTTCAGGTTGTATGACATAAATTTCAATTTCTGTTATATGCTATGTGATTTAAGCAAATGAACCAAGCATCACTTGCTGTAATCAGTTGCTTTGTGGTCTTTTCATTTGCGCATTGTGGCATAGTAGGATTGGGGTGAAAATTGTTGGAGTTGGAAGTGGAACCCATTTGAAATTTATTTCCGTTTTATTGCAGGACGCAGGAAGTCTTTAACCTTTTGGGTTACACTGCCACCTACCAGAGGATTGGGCACTGGCAAATAAATAAAACAAACAAACTGTAGCCCAGCTCAGGATAACTCCTCCTCCTACCCACATTACTCAGTTTTTTACTAGTGTCCTAGCGGATGAATGTCTTTCCATAACTCTTCTTAACGAATTTTTGCCACCGCCATTTTTTCTTCTCTACTCATGGCAAACGCCTCTTGGGCTTGACTGGATAGCCCTCACTTTCTGTCTTAAGGGACTGTTTTACAATCCTGTCTGATGGTTGCTGGCTTTAACTGCATTGTAATTGAAGCCCATGTTCTGAGAGAAAGGGGAATCTCTGGATCTGTGATTTCTACAATGCTATAAGCTAGAAAGTCTACTTCTTGCAAGGTCTGTCATTGAACATGGAAGGCATACTTGACTTGATTTGAGTCTTGGAGTTTTCACCCTAGGAGTGTCTCCTCTGTAAGACGATTACTCTCCTTCATACAGCTGAGACTGGACCAGCGTTTGGTTCTCAGAAATGTGAACAACATGCAGAGTCTTATGTATAGGAAGACGTATGAAGAAAAAAACATTAACAAGTGTAAATAAGGCAAAACTAGTAGTTCAAAAAGTTTGTATCAACCTTCAAACAGTGCTCTTGATCCTCACTGTGCTTCCCTTCTTATAACACACTCCCCATAGATGATGCAACCATGCAAGCTGATACGTAGGTCAAAAACGGCTTCAAACGTTGATCTCTCCTCTCCGTCCTAAACCACTCATTTAGACAGCAAAAGTACATTCCTCCTCCAGTATCATCAAGCTTGTGAGATTTCGAGTGAATCTGATGTTAATTTTTCATTTAATAAAGCTTTTTTTTACCATTTAAGCTTGAGTATCCCTTTGTTGTTTAAACCAGTGGATTAACAGACGGAAAGGAGAGGAGAGGTCAACGTTTGAGGCATTTTTTTGACCTATGTATGAGCTTTCCAAAAGGAAATTCCCCTCTATTGTCTGGATGTGGTTCAGACTTTGGAAGTCTATTGCTCAGCCACTTCTTTCAGAAAAACGTTTCCAAGCTTATGGTCTCAAGGATCGGGTTTTACCCTCCCCTGTCAGGATTCGATCTGTGAGCTTTTCTTGGGCTTTTTGCCATCAAGCAACTGTTTCCCAGATTTGAAAGACTACAATCTGATCTCTTGTTCACATGTTCTCTAAATTCTAGCAGGTGGAACGTACGGCTTCATCATATGGCATCTTTGGGCATGACATCTTTCTGGTGACTCTATTAATTGAAGGCAGTCCCTATTTTTCTATTTTATTGGGCTTGTTAGTGTTTTGCTGTGTTGCCTACCCCTCAGTTCGACTGCTTTTGGACATCCAAGGTTAAAGACTTTGTGTACCTTTAATGGGGAAGATGGAAAACGGGATATTTTTTACTCACTGTCAAATCCTTTTCTTAGAGGCACAGGTCCAAGCCTTCTGTGTTTATGAACATGTTCTCATGCTCGTGGTACTGCAAAACGGAGGAATTCAGTTAGTAGGAGGGGTTATCCTGCTGGGTTGGCCTAAAGTTTTTTTGATTGCCAATATCCAATCCTCCTGCAGGAGGCAGTAGAACTCAAAGGTGAAAGGCTTCCTGTGTACAAGAAAAATATTACATTCCAAAGGTGCACATATTCTTAACGGTTTGCCTACAGAGGAGTAGAAAACCTCCTATTTTCTTAAGTTATGGATATTCCATTCAACTTTTGTTCTGTAAACAAAGGAATATCAACATTTCAACACCTTCATGTTACAGGGTTAAATTATTAGGACACAGATTTGATATTCCTTTTCTAGTGCTCAGGATCTTACAAAGTGTCCCCACCCCCTTTCAGGCTTCTTGTAGAGCCGAGTGAAGTAAAACTCACCGATAGATCTTTTTGAGAAAAACCCAAGCTCAAAGCCGGTGCTTCTACCCAACTTCTTCAACCACCTCCTCCAGCAATCATGTAGAGTATAAGGGAAGCACATTGCCCATAGGGTTTAGCTCAAACAAGAAACGGCTAAGCTCCATTCAGCTTGCTTCAATCAGAACCTAGAATGGACAGGGTTTGGGTGCCTTGTGTGCTACATAAAACCAGGCAAATGGTCCCAGGATGCAGAAAATTCTTATTTGTGTAAACACACATAGACTGAATGCATCTAGGTGTGCATTCAGCCATAGTAAAGAGCTACATGTTTCTGTGTGTATGGGACCTAAGCAGCATGCCCTTAGCTTGTCCCAATATGATACATGGCTAGACCACCCATATTCCTGTGTAAGCTTTGCTTTGCTGAGCAAATGGTCACTTACACCAGAATGTTCTTCCATACCCAGAAGAATTGGGTATTTCTTGGACAGTCTGGTAGTTCATTAGGGGAGCACAGGAAAGGCAAGCATTGGCTCCGTGTGTTCCCTTTTGTATAGTGAACATAATTGAGACCTTTATTGTAAGTGATGTTCAGTTCTCTATCTTATTGGTACTTTATTATTAACAAAGGTGAGTAACATAAAGCCTTCTAGCCAATAATAGTCTAAGCCAGCATTCACACACTCATCGTTTTTGTCTGTGTTACAATTGTTTCATGTCATCTTTGTAGATGTTTCCATGTATTGCTCTTGGACTATGATATGTTCTTTGCTTTCTTAGACTGTTATTTCATTGTTTGATCATATTTTAGCTTATTTTAATAAAAAATTTAATACAGCTGACTGAATGATTTGTGTGTTGCTGTGCTAATACAATTTAGAGGGCTGGATTTAACATCCAGATCAATAGGCCTCAGCCATCAACATAAAGTGGGTCGAATGTATAAATGATCTGATTTTACTAGACATGTATAATGTTTTCTATAACATGTATGTCATACCCTGGACAGCTCCACTACAACAACCAAAGTTTGCAGTGCGGTTTCTCTCGAGGTCCTCTTTTCATAGTTTGAGTCATGACATGTGCAGAACATTGACCCAACACAACATACGTAGATGGTAGAAGTGAAGGAACTCCCATTCCTCACTCAATATCATGCATCTGCTTCAGTAAGAGGTGGCTTTTTCAATTCACTGTTAAAGTGACACTAAACTCAGGAACTAAATCTTAAAAACACATTCAAGTTCCCTAACTATTAACAAAAATGTATCTTGTTTGTGCATCACTCAATTGTAGATCCTCAAATCATTTCTGACTTGGTGCTGACATTGTCCTTCCTTCTGGAGGGGGGTTATTTTGTTCTCCATGGTCCCTTGTGTGTGTTGTAAGTAGTCACCACTCCAAGCTCGCTCCCGTGATGGACTACAAGCTCACATTTAGACTATAACGTTATCACAAATTAGTTATCACGGGAGCAAGCCTGCAGTTTAGTGTCACTTTGAGTAAAACTCCCTTACCTTTATCAAAGAATATTTATTTGGTCAAAAAAGTACATCACAAGGCAAATGGAGGTAAATTATTTAATCACTGGGTTAAGCAGCAACCTTCAAGTGATTGGGCACTGGCAAATCAACCAATTTAAACAATGCTGCAGGACAGCCCTACATAACACCTCTCTCTCCCAGTCTTTTGCACTATTGTTTCTATGATTTTTCTGGCTAGACTAACCTAGTGAGTTTCCCTAAAGCTGCTCTAAGGCACTGTGTCTCCTCCAGCACCTATCCAGATTGATTCTCTTTTTGGTAGACCATACACTGACGACGCCAGAAGGAAGATCCAGGGCTGACATGAAGTGTGTTCAGCACCTTCCTTGGAACTTTGTACAGGCATGTGTGGTTATCTACAGGGTGTTCTTGAGGTCCAGGAATGTGGTGCTTCTAGATTGAGCCCTGACCCTGCAGACTCCCCCCCCCCCCCCCCCCCCCCCCTCGCTGTAGGGGCAGCAAGTGTGCCTGCCAGGAACTGAGATGACTCCTTAACAGAAAGGACATTGTATTCAATCTTCCCAAATCCTCTTAAAGTTGGATGAATCTCTTTGCTGCCCTAAGTCAGCTTCTAACTCAGGGGGCCTTAGTCTCGGTTCTGGAGGCAGAAAGGTTCCTTGGATTCTATGCCAACCTGTTCACTATCCCCAAGGAGAAGAGTGAAATGGATCACCTTATCCTAGACCTGAAGGTCCTTAATAGGTTCCTGCAGGACTAAAGGTTCTGTATGGAATTCACCCATTCTGACATCACCTCCCTTGACCCAGGCAATATCCTGGCCGCAGTGGACATTAAGGATTAGTATTTACACATCCCTATTATTCCAGTCCACTGACGCTTCCTGCATTTTGCTGTGGACACTCAGCAATTCTAATTTGTTGCTCTCTCCTTTGGTTTGTCTACAGCACTACGGGATTTCATCAAGGTGCTGGCATCTGTCTTGGCCTGGCTGTGGTCCCAGGGGATCCCCATAGTGGTGGACCTCCTCCTCAGGTAGCATCTAGCACAAGTCCTATCATCCAACACCCAGTGGACTACACAGAGTTCAAATGAACCCTAAATCTCCAGAAATCGACACTGGGGCTTTCACCATTGCTTGGAGAACCTGGTCCTAGCCGTGGACACATCCCTGTCCAGGGTCTTTCTTTCCCAGCGAAACGTCTGTCTCTCCATTTTCATGCTCGGACCCTATGGTTCATTTCATCCTTCCTTCAGTCTGCTCAGGACCAGCATTAGTCCCTAACTACCATCAAGGGTCAAAGTTCTGTTTTGCCGATTCTCTTCCAGAGACTGCTTGC